AGAATTTTACATTGATCAAGACAGAAGTAAAAATTTGGTTAGGGGTATAAATATCGTAAGCATATCATTAAATCAATACAACTATCGCCATAGAACCTTGCATTAGCCAGGCGTACAGCGAAACCTTGAACTCAATAATTTGTAATTTTGGGAATGTTACAAACCCAATGTCCATCTTTGGGTATAAAGTGCAATTTACAGAAGAATAATTACATATAAATGTTAGCTGTAACTATATAACACAATAACAATGTAATATAAATCCGGCGGCAAATATTTTATTGCGGTCATAAATCAAAATGTCACGTGGACACAATGATCGCAAGAATTAATGCTTGTCAGCCATCAGGAGGAGAGCAATGTTGATGCAGTTCTTTCAAAAAGTGGAAAACATTTTTTAACATTTATTAAACCAATAACGACGTATGTTATTAAAAAGCAACAGCAACATTCCCTAACTAAGCTAACTAACTGAGAAATGAAATTTCAAATTACTGACGCAAAACGAAGGATAAGGGTGTGAAGAGGAAGATTTTTTTTTTTTTGAAAAAATCCAATTTTAACAATTTTTTTTTTTTTGTTCTTCTATCCCCTTTTCTTAAATTACAAATGTCAAAAAGGAAACAACACCGCAGAAGTGTGTTCAAAGCAAAATCATATATCACACTTGCATTTAGGAATAATGTGCTTCTAAGCGCAAGGTTTGACTGTTCATTAATGACTTAGCGCCTGTTTGCATGATGGAATGTAATAATAATAAAATGCGTGTAACCGTCTATATAGCTGTTTGGCTTTTCTAGGGGTTAACAGTTATAATTGGTACATGCGTAAGGGTGTGTTATACAATGGCATACGCACTTCACATTTTAATATATATTTTCATTATGATAGACATCAAACTAAGATTTAGATTTTGTAATGTACGTATGCTTGGGATAGAGCGGGCGGGTTCTTGTTGTTTTCTTTTTGCCAATTGGCAACCGTAACCAAGCATTTGCATGCATTTAGATGATTGTGGATTATATGTTGCTCCATGCACGTGTCTTTTACAAAAGGAGGTATTGAAAATAGATTAGAAACCGGCAATGTTTGAGTAAAAGGAAATTGATGTTTTTCCATATATATAATAAGTATGAAAAGATAGCTTATGTTAAAAGTAGCTTTTGTTGACTGAAAGCTTGTAACAAAAATCTTACTTATTTGAAAAAAAACATTCGTCCACCATTACCTTAATGGAAAAGAAGGGAAAATATTCCACGACATGTACGAATTAAAGCTGCTCATATAGAACGCTCGCTACCTTTTTTATCAAGCAAATGACAATATTTTGCTTTTATCTTCTATTTGAATTTCTGAGTAAGTGAAAGAAATATTTTCAATAATTCATAAATCAAACAAGCGATATTTCTTCTTTATTACTTATATATATATACCTGAATTTTTGCCGAGACATCGTTTCCCAAGCTAACAAGTAAGAAATTTATATCCGGCGTTCGACGAATCTTAGATACCTATCGACTATGATGTTATCATACGAATACTAAGTTTAGCACTGCCGTAAAGTTAGCCCACTGTACCGAGTCTAGATTTTTGTCTTTACTCAAAATGTGGGCTATCGTCTGGTACCGTAATTCACCTCACATTAGGGAAGAAAGAAACTTTGGAAATAAATTCAGTTTATCGTTCGAAGATCTCCCTTAGGCAACTATGCACATTTTCTACGAAACAGATGAGATGACCCATCTGCGAATAATAGTAAACCTTGAAAATGTGTCAGTGTTTGCTGAATTAATGTCTCTTGAACAAAAAAAAAAAAAAAAATTGATAAGTGTTCACTTAAGAAAGGTTTTTTAGTAAATTTGTGTTTCATAAAAAATTCAACAGCAGCAGGTCAATTAAAGAAGCTTAGCATATATGAAGGGTTTGCAGCACCCCCCACAAGTTTGATTAATAATAACAACAACAAGAACAACCCAACAAAAAAGGAAAGATTTATTCTATCTTTAATGTTATGTAACCGAGTTAATCAGCTTATGGTTATAAAGTATGAAAGCTTCCAAGCATCACAATCTTGTTACTTAACTTCTCATCAACATTCTGCTACTTAGCTACCCTTCTCCAATTCTATTTGCGCTCTCACTTAGCTACCCTTACCAATTGCGATGTCATAGTAAGTAATCAAAACCCCATGAAAATGTAGTTTTTAGTATTATCAAGGATAAGCTAACATTTTTCGGATGATAGAAATTGTTAAGAGTTTAATAAATGAAAACCAGTCAACATACTGCGAAAACGAAATCGAAACAAACTAACGAAAACCGCCTTCGAGGAAATATGAAAAGAGTGGGAAATTACTACACTTATGCTATCGTAGTTGCTCTTGCTTTCTTTTCGCAAATGAATACACATTTGCACAGTTTTGAAACTGTCTTTTAGAACGAGTTGGGCACAGTTATCCTTCTCCCTCTGGGGAACAATCAATTCTCGTTGTGTAACGTAAATCAAGCCTTTTTAACACATCACATTTCCTATGTTTTTCACTCGTTACTATCGTAAACGTATGGTGTGCTCGGTGCGCGCAAAACATCAACTTGCTTCATTAAACAAGCTTAGAGGAGTGTTGCCCTTCGCTATAAGTTGCTTGTTAGTAAAATATGTATTTATTTGGTTTTCTTTACTATTTGGTTCTTGTGTTTTTGCTGCTGTTGTTGTTGTTATTTTTGTTGTTGCCAATATGCTATTTATTTTACTAACATTAGTTTGCTTGTCATCCAATGGGCATATATTACATATAAATATATTGTCGTCGATGCGTATACCATATGCACTTGAGTGTTAGCAAGCAAGTAGCAAAGCATTTGCACGAAAGACGCTCCCAAAAACAAAAAGCATGAATTTAAACACAGATGTGTTTAAGTGCAGTAATGTTTCCTATTTCTTGCCGCCTTCCCCTAACACCATTTTTTAGTGCGCACATTAGTTTCAACGCAGAGCGAAGCACCCAAACAAACACTAACAAAATAAAATCCTTCAGAGTTTGCAAAATGAAATTAAAATTGTTTCAATAACGCCAAGAATGCCATTTCGCCTTCCTTAGCTTATGTATTGAACTCATCAAGAACTCAAGAAAGGAAAATAAAAAAAAAAAAAAAAAAACAAGAAACGCAACCATTACACTGCCAGTCAAGGAAGCGTTCGTGAACTTACAACTGTTAGAAAATTGCTGATGACAAAATGTCATCCATAGGGTGATAGACGCGGGTAAGGAACTATATACATACAAATGGAAGCACATAAAGGCGAGGGCGAGCAATGCGACTGAATGCGTTGTTTTCATTCAACATTAATGTTTACTATACTGAGTAAAAGTGTTAATGATACCTGACATGTACTGACAACAGTAATGGGGATGATATTGGAGTCATGGGTTACAAATTTTATGCTCTACGTTAAGTGTAAACGTAAAAATTGTTTTAACAACTAACAATATTTACAACACACGATTGAAAAACTAAAAGTTGTAAAAATGAAAAGACATTTGATTTTATTAAATTAAGTTAATGAGAAAGTGTTCAGTGGGGTGGAAAGGTATATTTATTAAAAAAAAAAAAAAAAAATTTCAATAATTCCTTTCTTCAGTTTCTGCTTTTCGAGTAGGATATCGTATATCACAGGTTCATCACATTTCGCTTAAGGCTGCTCGACTCAAGTGTATGCAATAAGTTCTTAATGAGAAATTTATCAAAGGAAAGAAAATTTTGCTATAGCGTAGAGCACAGCAGAAAGGAGCTTTATTTTTTAATATTATGTACGTCGTGTAATAAGTAAATCACATAAAAATAGTCAATGATTCAAATGATGGAAGATAGTTTGGACAAGCATCACCCTTTGCTAGGAGGTGGGAAATTTCTAACCGAGATCTCTTTCGCCGTCATGACCAAAATATCTTACAAGAGACTTGTGTTTGCAGCTCCGAATTAGGTAATCTAATGGGGATGGCTCTCATCTGTTCACTACTCCGGAGAAATCGGAATTACTTGTGCGAATATTTCTTGTTCACGTGGTATGTTGAGTCTTCGATGTTCATGAATAAAAATATTTAACCATCACAATTTTTATTTAAAAACACCTTCTTATTCGCTAATATTAGAACAATTTCGCAAGAGCGATTGCTAGCTTTGTCGCCGGGCAATTGCCACGAGAATGAAATAAAATTCACCTCAAGTGTGTCAACGTAACAACGACAACAATTATCGCAAGAGCTTAGCTTCATTTCAGTTCAATGTTTCATTAGCAACAACAAAATTAAACAAAATGTAATTTAACCGAACTTAGCGACCTCGTTCTTCAGAAAGCGAGACACGCCACAATACCTACATACCTTCGCCCGTGACAGAAGAAGAACACCAAAAGAACAGTCGGACTTCTCATGGAATTTACGTAAAACAAAAGGATTTCAGAGTCCTGAACTCACATTTTTGATTTGCGTTATAGTTGACACACCCAACGTACTCACTCTTGTCAGATGTCGAAGGTGGGGCATGTCCCAAAGCCATCGTTAGTCAATCTTCACCTAATCTAATATTTCTCTATCCTGTTTTTGCCTAACTTAGCCTAGCATTTCCTAGCATTGGTCAGTAAGCAGGGACGATTTTCACTTCTCAATTTGTTTGTTTCCTTCTGAACTTTAAAATTCACCCGCTATAGCGGCCAGATTTCATGTTAGAGAATTGCTTGCTTCTGCTGTTTTTAACCAAATTATTAAGTATTTAATAACGGACTACTTGTGAACTAGGTTTTCTTCGTAGGTTTGACTTGACATATTTAGGTAGCAAACTTGCGGTACTTTTTTTGTTCTGGGAGATGTGAACTTAATACTAGAAATGTTAACAAGCTGTCAATTAAAAATTGACAAAATCAAGAAATGCACAAAAAAAAAAGGAGAGAAATTTGCTCTTCACACTCTTAAAACATATTCTCACAAATTTCTTAATACTTACCTCAATATAACCTTGAACGCTATCGCACTGCTGTAGAACTAATATCGCCGGATTGAATTTCAACGACGAGAATTCATCGGGTGGTGAGCAAGGACTTAGAAATCCACTATCAGCATCGCTGTGAGTTGATAGTGGTCGCGGCTTACGCACTTTATATTGAACGTTACGACTCGGTACCGGACCGGGATTAAATAATACGTAATTCGATTCTATGGGTACAGTACGCGATTTATTCTCTTTACTCGTATTATCCGCACTCATTAACATTTCTTGCAAATGAAACACATGATCCAAACTAACTACTTCGGAAATGGCTCTTTCACGAGATTTAATATTTAAGTTCTCGTTATCTAGGTCCTCATGTTTAATTAGTTCCACTGATTTTTGATAGCAAAATGGTGATAAATTGAGAAAAGTTAATTTTTTTTTCGTCCCTTGTAAAGCGGTTTGCGACGAGACATTCGATGACGAGGAAGTATTCGAATTGGTAGATGTGGAGGATTCTTCTAGAGCGATAGAATTTGTGGTGGTAATATTGGAAGCGGTAGTGTTAGTATCCTTACTCTCCTGACTATTGGACATGCTCGTTGCGGCTTCGAAATCGTCGTTTATAAGTTTATCGAGACTTTCAGAACTTTTCATATTTTCCATATTTTCCAAATTGTTCACATAAGTATGTTGAGCAGACAATAGTTGAGCCTGAACAAATTGTTCGTTGCTAAATGGATTTGGTATGCCAATGTCAACTAACGGCTCGTCTTTCAATTCCTGCGGATCTATAACGAAGTAATTGTGGTGTTCAAAGTTTTTTATAGATATTTCAATTTTTTCGTTCAATTGTTCATTATTGTCTTCAATGTTTACGTTATAAATAATTTCCGGCACTAAATCTTCCTCTTCACTAAATGTTAAATGCTGCCGTGAACTGAAGAGGGGATCTCTTAAGTTATGATTAAGAGACTGAGCGTTTATATCCATAATCATAGATTCGGGGGTTGATCTTTTTAAAGTTTTTTCATTAACAAAATCCAAAGGATCGAACAGACAATAATTATCCATGTGCGAGGTATGGACTTTTCTCTGACGTACTGGTAGGTTTTTTAATTTCTCCGAGTAATCAGCTTCGTTGTTATTGGCAACATTTGAGGAAGGTGGGTTGTTTTCAGGAGCAGGTGGCGGTGGTGAGACTTCGGTAGAGGAATTTTGTTCTTCAGTTGCACTGGTTTGCGTGTTTAGAGATTTTTGAGAGCTTCGATGTAAAGAAGCAAACAAACCTTTGGAATTGATTCGCGCAATACAATTTTTAAGTTCGGTTACTCTTCCTTTGTACGGATTGCTGGGAATACTGTTAGTCTCGGCACTTTGTAGGCCTCCAATATTAGAGGCACTACCGGAAGTTTGTATATTCTTCAATTTATTTGATTTAATGAGTTCCTTGCGTTCCTTCTTACTCAACACCACTTTGCCGCGTGACGGTGTTGAAGGACAGGAAACGGAAACAGTTTGATTTAGTAAACTACGTGAAGGTAATTGCGATAGCGGTGGAGGTGTAGGTGGGGCTGGTTCCCGATAAGAAGGCAGTGTTCTTAGATGGTTCGAATCTTCATCCTTTCCATGCAAAACATGCGTAGTATCATAGCTGACGGGAAAATCACAAAATAGTTCAGTAAATTCTGCAGTCTCTCGATTGGTTGCTTCATTAGGGAAGAATTCAAATTCCATATAATTCTCATCCTCAAAATTATTAAAGGACAATTTATTTGTACTACAATGGTTGCATTTTTTATTATTACGGCTTTTACTAATAGTACCTCCTACGGCTGAGGTAAAGGTGGGCGAAATGCTTGAATTATTGGCATTGCGATCTGCTGAGGTTTTATTAGACAAACGCAACTTTTGAGGTTTCTCCTTACTGGCAGTGCTGCCACCATTGGCGGCTTTCGGTGTACTTGATGATTTTTGCATATTTGATGAATTTTCTAAATTGCCTTTACTCGCAATGTTTATCTGTCTGGAAACCTCATGTACGGTCTGACGCTTCAAACCTTTTGCCTTAGGTCTATAACTTGGCAGAGTATGATGGCTTCTATTTGTGTCTGAGATGGTCGGTCTATAGTTTGTTGTGGTCACATTGTCTACTGGTGCAGTTATGCCATGAGTGACAGAATGAGGTCTACATTTAACGTTGCCTGCTATAAAACCAACACAATCTCTCTCATGTATAGAAGTTTTCAATATTGTAATAACGCTTTGCCGCTGCTCTTGTTGCGAGTTATATGCACTGACGAATTGATGTTTTCGTTTTTGGTGCCAGTATTTATGTTCTTTGTCGTAATTATTGTTGGTGTTTAAATAGATGGTTTGCTGTCGTTGTTGTGGTTGTACATTTTGTAGATCTTTTTTTAGTTCTTCCACATTATCAAGCATGATTTTCACGATGGCATGTTGCAAGGGGATTACTGCTTAAGTTGCTCACATTTTTCTATTATCCTTTTAACAAAATTTCATTATTTCATTACTTTTGCATGACTCTTTCTTAACTTTTCGAGTTCTTACACATATTTAGGTTGTTTTTTTTTTTTTTTTTTTATTCTTTGTCTATGTCATGTAGCGAGCAGTGTAACCCTTTGAAAAGCTGTGACTAAAATTTATGATTTTCATAAATCTTGTTGTTCGAAAACACACAAGAGAATAAAATTAAGTTTGTTCTTTAGCGATCTCTTTTTGGGAAACGAGACACGAGTGGCTTTTAATGAACATTTTTTTCAAGTCGTTATTCCTCAAAGTGATAACATACAACATACAAAAGTGAAGCTCTTTAAAAACATGAACATTGCTATGAAACACTTTGCCTCTCTAATTAAATGTCAACTCAAGCTCTCGTCAAAGATGTCGTTTCCTCATGGGTATATTTACCATAGACTTTTGAAATGTTTTCCAAAATTTCTTCATAAAATGGATATAAGTAAATAAAAGTAAATTAAAATACTACTATGATTAATGCTTGTTGTGCGTCCGCATCTTATAAGTTAAGTTTTAGCAAAACTTTTCTTATTTACATTTAACAGATATAAAGCTGGACATGAACTAACGAATGAATGCCCGGCTTAATGATAAGTGTATAGGGAATAAAAAAAAACCTAAACTCAATAGAAATTAAAATTTTAAAATCATGCTAAGCAACGTAGGACTAATAAGATTACTATTGAGGGTAAGAGAGGAATCTCTTAAAGCTCTCATCATTACAAACGTAAAAACATATGTAATTACGAAATAATATGTCGTTCAATAAGCTCAAAGGATCGCAGGATTATAGGCTAATCCTTATGATTTTTAGATTTCGTATTTCATTTGACAATTTCTTAAGCTAAATATTGAAGAGAAAACTCAGAATCTCAGCTTTCAAGTTTGAAAGCAAAGCCCCTTGATGAATTTTCTATTCTGAAATGAATGGCGCGAAGGATGAATCCTTGGAAAACGTGTAACAGTTCACTCAATAAGTTTGAGAAATGATATACAGATGTATGATGTTTAGATAGCAGCAATCCCCGAACGGAATGTTCAAATTTTCTTGACAATCTCACCGTTCCAAGTTCAAAAGCTATCGTTGTTTTAGTGTGTGACACCACACACAAACCCCAGACTCTTTCGCTGTTTAACAAAGAGAAAGGTAGAATCACTAAAACCACAGTAACTTGTAGAACAATAGTGGGAATGTGGTGAAATGGTAAAGATTGGTATTATTCAAAAAGCCATATGCTCATCCCGCGAACTTATTGAGTAACGTGTTATTTGTATAAAATTTTATATTAATAGAGCGACATGTGGGCTAATCGTGCCTACTTTCCCTTCAAATAGTTTTTGTAAATATGTGTGTTTCTTTTCGGATTTTATCTGTGATCATGAAGAAAGGAAAAATGTGAAGTATTTTGATTTTCCAATTGCAATTTTCCCGACCCCGTGATCTTATCCAAATCGTCTTAGTCTCTAAGGATGCATATATTTTTACAGCATTTCCAAGGTGTACTTCTGTGTGTTGTAAAAAGAAATTTATAGGCAACGAAAATATAATTTAGAAATCTCACTAAAAAATTCTCATTACTTCCCCAACACATTTTACAGTTAATTACATAACTTACAACACATGGCTAATAAATTTAAATAACTTTCCGGATTAATCAGCAACTAAAAAAGAAACGTTACAGCGCACAAGTGCAGTGCAGACTTTAATATCAAACTTGCATAAAAACAAAACAAAAAAATGTGGCATATTAGAGAGAGAAGAGTTGTTTTCTTCCCAACGCCAGCAGATTAGTGTGAAGAAGAATCGAAGAAATGAAGTTAAAGCGAAAAAAAAAAGAAGAAATTATTCTTTCTCGTAATTAAAATGTAAATTTAAATTGAATTCAACAAAAGAAGCAAGCACTGACTGGCCCTCAGAGGAAAAGCAGGCCAACCTTAGGAAGTGAGCAAAAACAAAGGATTGCGATTCCCATAGTGAGAGAAAGATAAAATAATAATAATAATGTGCTTAAGTAAGCGTTAACAAATATATATATATATATATATATATATAGAATACACTTGTAGGCTTCTTCCTTTAAGTACAATTAGCATTTTCCGCCTGTGCCCGAAAGAGACATAAAATTTGTTATACTTTTTGGCATACCGTACTAAAACAATTAACTCTCGCGTGCAGTAGCAATAGAATAAAAAAAAGAATAATTGTACATTTTAAAGATATTGTGTTAATATTATCTGCCTTGACAAACGATATATATGTAGTATGTTAGCATAATACCTTAAAAGTTATACTAAATCGAAAAACAAACCTGCTCTTAAGTGGTTTCGAAATACATTATTTCAGTTCAATGATTTCGACAAATTTTTATTTTTATACCCATCACCGAACGATAAGGAATGTATTGGTGTTGTCAGAACGTTTGCAACAACCGAAAGGATGCCTCAGAGACCCCATCTTGATTGGCACAAAACTCTAAATCAGTTTGCGGATGTCCGTCCGTCCGTCGGCCTATTTGTCTGCCTACCTAAAGTCTGCATAAAAAATTTTTGTTTTTTCCTCTTTACTTATGAAGTACAACAAATACAACAAATATTTGCACTTATATTGTATTGGTGGTTCTGCAACACATATACAAATTTTCGATATTATAAAATATTAAAATTTCATTCTTTGTTCAAAATAAGAAGCTTCAGAGAGTACATAAAGTCTCTATATATTATTAGTCGATCACAAACTGTGATGGGTGTAAAATATTCGATTACGGCCGAATGTCATTTTCTTTCTTGGAATTTAAAAGTATTTCTAATATCAATTTTCTGGTGGTTGGTGTGCAAAATTCAAACTTTTTTGATAACATCATTATGGCTCCATCAACTCAAAGAAATTAAATGAAAAAATTCTTCCATTTCTAAGTTTTTTCTTTTTTCTTTTCCCTTAAACCTTACTGCATACGCCAATACATAGATATTATGTTCTCTTTCGTATGTCAAAGCAAGCAGATAAAATTTAGCAAACACAACTTAATCTAAGATTGAGAGCAAATATTTCGAAAAAAAAATTTTGTTTTTTTCACAAGTTTTTCTAAATTTCTTTTATGTATCTGCTATTGTTAAACATTTCGATCCTTTTCAGACTGCATTTCGATTATGCAAGTTTATATGAATTTGTTGTGCAAATACCACAAAACTTGTGCAGAGGATAGGAAAAGGAACAAAATAAACTTTTCACTATTAGTCAAGTGTTGATGGCATTCTCCTATCTCTCTGGTAATGTATGTGCGTATTTAAGGATTACACTTTTTTGAAATATCATGTCAATGTCAAAGAAAGTGTTGTGTCAATTTACCAAAATGTATTTGTATACCTCTCGATATATTTAAGTTACTCTTTAAAAAAAAGAAAAAAAAAAAAAAAAGTGAAAAATAGAAAAATAGAAAAACACGTACTATTAACAAGAATTTTTAAATTAAAAGGAAAATAGTTGCGTATGGCTTTTGGGTTTATCTTGACCTCATAGAGTTTATCTTTCGTCGGAAACGTGCTTTTCCTATGCTCTGATATATGATTTGAAAATTCCTATGGACGACTAGGGACGTACAGATGGACGCTGCTTTTTTCGATGAAAGCTGTTCTCTTGAATATTAATCTGATATTGCTTTTGCGAACTAACAAAATATATTCTCCTCTTTAAGAGATGAATGCATGAACAGTACTACGCAAAATAAGTCGTTGATGATGTACAAAGGATGGCTGTTTTTTCAATGACAACTAATGACATGTTTGTGTTTATTGCAACGCTTATTGAGCTATTATATAATGAATTTCACGATTGCCGAGATGAAAAGATTTTGCTTGCAAATTGTGTTTTCATCGGTAATCATCTAATACTATTAAGTAGCGCCCAAAACTACGAAACAGTTCTGTATAGGGATCATTTACACAACATTTTAGTTATCTATCTTCATTAGGAGAAATTGAAAGAGATATAATAAGAGGAATAAAACCCTATGTAACACTGTTACACTTATCGCCTTTACTTCGTTGTTTTTATTTTCACGTTTTCTATGTAATCTAGTCCTTGAATGCATTCATCACTGAATGCAGCGCTTAAAAATTGTTTTCCTTTGCTTAATTGCATGACGTACACGGCAACTATCCAAGATAGCAAGTTGTTGTGTTTGCAAGTTGTGTTTGTTGCATTTAAAAGAAGAGCAAAGCGTCTATCTATGTGTAATGAGCGGAAATGTACGCTTATAGGGTAACTTGCACTGTATATTTTTCAGAAAATAAAATGTTTTTTGTTGACCTAATAGATGCTTTACACTCTTTGAAGTAAATAATGGGAAAACATTCATTACCTAAAAGAAATTTTCTCTTTAAAATATCGGTGTTTGCTCAAACGCTCCAAAATTACCACCTGTGTTAAATGAATCTGTATTAGGAAGCCGCCTGATCTGTTGATGTCTAAAATCTCCCACACACTGACAGATGCTTTTAGAATATGTTTTTTTTTTTTTTTTAAGTGTTTCCATGCAAAAATATCCTAGCGTACCTTTATGAAAACGAGCGCCGAATATTTACAAGGCTGAGGGCGATTCGAAAGCTTTCATAGATTCTGTTAACAACGTGAAAGTTTGAGATGAAGTTTTTGGAGCTGATGTTGAATTCGGTTACTGGGTTACACATTTTCTTGTCAGGTGGGTGCCTACTAGGAAAAGAACTTCGGGGAAGGAGAATAAGGAAGAATCTTGAGAAGGACATCCTGGGATTTTGCGGATATTTGCAAACCCAGTAGAACTGGAGATAGACCCACAGTTTATTACATCACTTTCGGAGTCGATTTTGGCTTGCCTATCCTTCTTCGGTCTTCTTTTCCTGTGTTCCACGTCATATAGCTCGCAAAGTTTGAGATATTCTTCGGACATTTTATGCCGACGTCTTTTGGCTCAAGCGCCAATACTATTGAAAATGGTTCGGGTCGGACCATCGTTTCGATACCCATCTAGCACCTTATTTTGAAAACTGTATTAAGTAGGTCTGCCACTCGAAAGTTAAACAACAT